CTAATCACAAATTAAGAATTTTATATCAAAAATTTTGTAGGCCACGAATTATTTCGAGATCACAAATCAATAGTTTTATATGTTACATATTATTTTATTGGTCACAGATCCAAAAATTACAGGTCACAGTCATCTATCAATCATATATTTTCAAATTTATTGGTCACAGATTAATTTTTAGTCACAATTTTAATGTCACAATTAGATTTTTTTTTTTGTGACCACCCCGAGACCACTAGTGACTTCTGTGACCACCCTCGTGACCATCACCGTCGTTGTCGCCAGAACCAACAGCACCACCCATGTGACCACCCCCGTGACTATCACCTCACCACTGCCACCTACCGCATCACCGCCGCTGCCAACACCACCTCACCAACAACCACACAAATCATTCACCGCAAAACCAACTCACCGTCGCCAATATCCACCACCAACATTACCAAATCCACCTGCACCACCACCAACAAAAAAAGCCCCAAAAACCACCTCCACCACCAACCACAGATCCACAATCACCAACACCGCACAATCATCAACCACAAAATCACAGATCAACAATCAGTGTAAAACCCTAAACCAAAACCAAAACTACCACCATCATCACCAACACCGCCTCCGCTATCACTAACCAACAATCAACAGGGACGAAGGGAGACGAGATAGCAGCGAGAGAGAGGCATAGCTGTGAACGCCGCTTCATTTTCAGATCCACCGTCCATGATTCCCCAAAAACCCTACGCTCGCCGCTTCTGTGATGATGCCGTCAGTGGGGAGAGCGTGAGGCTTCGCGGTGGGGTATCGCGCGGGGCAGAGAGAAAGAGAGGTGAGGCTTCGCAGAGAGAGGTGCCGATGGTGCGGTGCCGACGGGGTGGTGTAGGGAGAGAGAGTGAAGGTGGCGATCGATTTTCATGGAGAGACGGTAGCTCTGAAGAGAGAGAGAGAGATGATATATTGAATAAATTGGGGTTTGTTAATTGTAATGTGTGTATATTGTAATTAAATATAATAATATTAATTAAAATAAAATATTTCATTTTAGAAATGTGAAACTTTCATCATGATTTTGAAAATGTGAATACATAAACTATGGTTTTG